CCCTCCCGACAGTCGCCTGAATATTGGGCAGTTTGTCCCACATGTTGTTCGAGTCTGTAGGTAAGCCGCGCACATCCGCACACCCTAAACAACTCCTTCGCGAGCCAGCAAATTGGAGATCAAAGCTAATGATGGGGTCTTGGGCAGGGGCTCGGTGCAGGACGCCGCGGCTTGGGCCGGGGCCAAACAGAGAACCAGGATCTCTTTGTGTCTGTGCGACTAGAAGTGCTCTAGGAAAAGCGAAACAGGGTTTCTTTGGGAACATGTTGCAAACCATGTTCATGCACATCCTGCTCGTAAAAATACTGTAGGGCATACGCAAGTCACGCTGGGTTTTGCATCTTCGCTCACTTGGCGTCTGTGGTTGACCAGGGCGACTAGGGGCTCTGACTTCAGGGCCTGAGGCTCCGCGCTTCAGGTTTTCGGATTTCACAATTTGGGTCATTGAAGCCGCCGGCATTGCAAAACGACCTGCAAGTGCTGAGAAAAACATTAATCAAGCTTCCCTACTAGATGCATACAAAGGTCGCTGCTGGATTATTGTTTGCACCGTGGCGGTTGCGGCAGGGGTTTGCGAAGTACATAGCAGGCAGTGCTGCAGCTCAGAAATTTTCACAATGACATAGTCGCATGAGGGCTACGGCACCCAGTGACGTTGTGCTTCAACACCCGCTGCCTCAAAATGCTTAACCTGAAGACTGCCAGGAGCTCCCCACATGGCATTAACAAAATCTCAGGTTGGGCCATGATTGAGCCTGCCGGATATCAGGCCCTAAACCCTATAACCCTAAACCCAACATGAAAAAGTGAAAGGCGAAGTGCAGCCAAAAGGCCGGCTGATTGAATGTGCTTCGTAAAACGTCCGGTGAAGCACGTGAAAGCCAGAAGCGCCGCTGGCACTAAAAGAAGAACCTGTGCTATCCGAAGCAATTTAGGATCAAGCTTCGGCCGCACCATGCTTCAAAACTCAGCACCGATCCTGTTACCACTTGTGGGCCTCACACGGATCGTGTGCACAAAATCGTATTGTGGCACCTCGCTTGTAAATCACAACAGCAATCACGGTTACAGAGTCTTGAATGCACGCTCGTGCGGAGTGGTGTTGTTCTCTCGGCTGCAATCATGCCGCAACTACACATGTACTGTGCCTACAAATGCTGAGCACAGCCAAATGGAGCCAAACGGCCGCATTGCACCCGTACTGTTGTCGACTCTGCTGTTTTACTTTGAGTCTTGGCTGCTCAAGATACCCGCATGTTCACCCAGCACATGTATTGCTACGACTCGAGAAATAGCAATTGGTGGTTGTAGCGGTGGTGGTGGTGGGTTGAGGCTGAAGAAGAAGAAGCAAGAATGGCTTTGGCAGCAGTAGCTGTGCTACTTGTAGTGTGCAGCAGCAATGATCGTAGTGCTGCTGCCACTCCGGCCACCACCACTGCTGCTGTTGCTGCTCCTCCTACAGTACTGGATGCTTCTGCCAACTGTTGCTACAGTGCTGCTGAGGTGATGCTCAGGGACGGGCGGTTTCCGGATCGCGTGGCACGAAGCCACCAACAAGGATTGCCAGATTCACACTGGCGAGCGGATGTCCTGCTCAAACATCCCTAGCATCAGAACTTCGGTAGAACACCTTTTGGAAACTCCGTTTTGGCAAAAGCTTTCCAGTGCAGTCTAGGGTAGAAGTTTCCGATGCCTCGAAACGAAGCTCTGTTGTCGTTCCATTTCGTCTCGAAAACAACGATAACCTGGCGTATGGAGTTGCTACGTAAACAAACATGTTAGCAAAGCGTTATGCCGCGGCTGCTTCAAACCCCACATACTTCATGTAAAAATAAACTGCGGTAAACTGCCGTAGTTCTGCTAGATGACTACTCGATCACTTGCTTTTTGGACCTTGTCGAACAGCCTTGTCTTTAGTTCGTGGCCCAAGCTTGGTGTTTGCGGCCCTCCCAGATCGCAGAAGAGGGTCCGTGTGCTGATGGGGCAGCTGGGTAATGATGGATTTCAACCGAAGAACCTGGCCTTCGTCCAGTTGCGCTTCCCGGAGAAGGCATGTGGCAACCTGGGTCGGCTTGCAATGAGCCGGCTGAGAGTCGACAGTCGCGGGTTGTTTGAGGATTTAGCTGCTTTTTGACCCTGTGCATCGTGGCTAAAGTCGGGACATGTTTTTTGATTCCCGGCTTAGCCTTCCAAGCCCTGCAAGTCTAGAGCGTACGAGCTTCCTCGCATGCTACAGTCTGAATACATCTGGAGGATCAGTTCAGCACCCGGGTCTTGCCGTTCCTAGTAAAGGTTTTATGTGAATCTCAAGAACGGCACAGCAACACCATCAGAAGGAACACTGACCAGAAGTACCAGCAGCACACTGGCTGCATCAGCTGTTGCTGCACGAAGCAGAGGTCGCTTATGTCAAGGGCAGAGGTGGAACTGGCTACATCAAAAAGCAGCCGTCTCAAAAAAACGCTCGAAGCGACAACAACATGAATGAGTATACAAATCCTTGCAATGCTGCAACTAGGAAGAAGAGAGTGTCACCAATCGGGCCTCACAGCCAAGAATGCTGCTCCACCTGGGGTCGCAGCGGCGCATCCTTGCGAGAATGCTAAGACCTTGAACGGGCGAGTTGAAATCTGCAGCATACAGTCACCCATATTTTGTTAAACGGCTGCAGTTGCACCATCGCCATCAACACCACCACTGCAATGATGAGTGTTGTCTGTGCCCCCCCATCACCACAATCATCATCCCCATGGCCAGCACCACCACACCCTCGCAGTGAGCTTCAACCCTTAACACTGCGAGGTCACAGAGTATCCTCCAAGTCCCGAAGAACCGGGTTCAGGACTGAAAGGCCAAAAGCCGAAGGCAGAAGCGTTTTGGAGATGATCCATGCTGCGCCTGCGAACTGGTGGGGACATGCTGGGTGTGCGGCGCCGTGAATTTGTTGGCCATCCTGTGCAAGAGCTTCTTGGGTTCTTGGGGCTTACAGGATATAGTCGCTCATGGAGGACGCCACAGGAAATTGTCATCATACACTTTCGAAAACTCTCATCGAGGCCGACAAAGCAGCGCACCGACCCATTGCGAAGTTCACTCACTTAGGGCTCAAAAGTGCAAGTGGCGTTCCTACAGAACCAGTCCTGCGGAGCTTCCCTTAATTTTTTGGAACACGACCGGAAGCAGCTGTGCGATTCCTGTTTCGTCCCTCGGATGAGGCCTCGCAGGCTCTGACAGCGGCGTCTCTGGCGCATGCTATGCCTGCACGCGCTGCTCAGATGTGCAAGAGCTGCAAGTGCCAGGGTACTGCGTCAGGTATCAACAGCTTCGTTCGACCACGTCAATGCCGTGGTACTTGTTGCCAGGGGAAAACTCCTCGAACCCACAGACCCTAAAGAGCCCAACAACAACAAAGCAAAACCACGAGCCGCCTGATTAAGCACGATTCCGTAAACGCCGAAACCTTTCATGAGCTGATCAAGTCTGGCCCTGCAAAGCTCGATTTCCTTCAGGGTTGGCCGTGAAGGTTTGTTTTTCCAGGTTCCTGTAAGGGTCCCTTTAAGGTGAGGGGCCTCGGCTTTAAATCAGCTCTCACTACAGGGTTTGTCGCTGGGTTTGCAGTGCTTAATTATGGGATAAAAGAGCGTAAAGAGTTGGGTGAGCTTACTGTCCTTCGGTGACGGGCCTCATGTCACGTTCATCATGGCCCCTGTGTTTTTTACCGCTGAGCGGTGCATCTATATGCTCAAGCTGAGTGTTTCGAGAATCCCAATGTAGGGAAATCCTCAATCTTCGGCGGGCTCCTTGCAAGGAAGTGCCGTGCAGCAGTTCTGCTTCCGCAACCGGGAACGCGGAAAATCAAGCTCCTGCCTTCTTCGAAGCCAACACAAGCATAGGACCTCAGAATTTGCCACCTCTTTTGGAATTTCTTGGGCCAAGCATATCTTTGACTTTACAAGGTGCGCACACACACACACGTTCTCGACTCAGACATTTGTCACCCCGAAGCACTTGACAGCCAAAAACGCATGCAGCCAAAATTCAAAATCTCTCATGCCAAGCCATGGAATTATGCTGCGTAGGTGTTTGCCTCACAGTCCGTATCGCAACTCTATCAGGCATGGAGGTTACGGATTATCGGGAAACGCGCTTTTCGCACGCTTCTGGTGACAGCCGTAACATTATAAACTGTCAGAATCCTGCATGAGGCCAGTCTAAGGGCAGTGATTGTTAAGAGAATCCATTCCAACCTGTGCTGAGACTCAAGCTGGGCAGGACGCACCCACGCCTTCGAAACAGAATTGGGGCTCAGATTTTAGGGCCATTCTAGGGTGTCTGATGCCAGGGTCAGATTGCAGAGCTCCTGGCACACAGCTACACTTCTCTAGGCCGGGAGTCCGCGGACGCGCTTGACCCCGCAAGCGTAAACGGGAAACTTCATGTGGCCACTAATGAGATTTGAAGCCGGGTTTTCGTGAGAATCCCGGGCAGCTGAAAACGAACCAGAACTGAGCCGTCAGCACTCACATGGGGTTTGTCGCTGGCAACTCTGAAAGGTTTCACAAAGAGAGAAAGGGCAGTGGCACAGGAGCAAATAAGGTGGATAGAGTGGAGGTGAAGAAGTAGGCAAAGCAGCAGCATCAGCAAGAGCCGCAGTCCAACTAGCGTAGCGCAATAGGAGCAGCAGCAGCAGCAGTGCAGCAGCAGCAGGGGTTGGGCTCGCCGAAGAAAGCTAACGCTGCAGTCGCCTTCAATCTCTGTTGCAACAGCACCGGAACCAAATAGCATCAACATTGGTTCTTTCAGTGGCTCCTCCTTGGCTTTGCTGTCACTTCGTTCGCGCCCGTAAATCCAAGGAACATTGCGAGTCCGACTGAAACCATAACAATTAAGCCAAGCTGAATCTTCATCACCAAGCCCCGACGATTCGGAGGTCCTTGCCCCGCTTCAAAGCTCTCTCCTGTAAATCCCAATTCCAAACCCGAAACCCGGACACCTCTCCCTGCTGCTTTCGGGCGTTCTCCCCGGAGACCCACCAACCACGTGGGCCGGCGCCTGCCGAAAATGCTGCAGAGAATTGATAGCAGTCGTATCAGGGAAATGGAAAAGGCGAGGAACAGGTTGGCAAACGAGAGCAACCGCAAACAAAATCAGCGCTGGCTGTCCCAAAAATAAAGGCAGTTGTAAGAAACCGAGACATGGGGCCCAGGGCTGTCGAGCTATGTAGGACCTAATGTCGGAGCCCGAATATACATATATATATATATATATATACATATTATAATTATAATTAATATTTATTATTACAATTTTTCATTTTTTTTGGGGGTGGGGGGTGTAGCATGCATCGGAACGCTATCATATCTCTGTGGTGGGATTTTGCTCAGCAGCAGACCCATGTAGCAGGTGATGTCAGGGACCCCCAACCGACAACGAACATTCGCAACGCGGCCAAGCCCCAAGCACGCCTTCGGATGCTGCTGCCTCGGCTACAAGATTGGACAAGTGCTCATGGTTTACGAAGACACGGGCTTTGAGTTTGGAGCAAAACTCGTCTTCTAAGAGTCACAGTGTCCGAATCAGCTTCTGTCTGTCAATAAACACTGAACGCGTACCTGCACAGAGTCGACTATTATCTTGATAAGTCTTGCTCGAAGGAGTGACAAAGCACCCAACTCGAGCCTCACAACCTGAGAGCAGCACCTCCTGCTTCTCGGCAGCAGTTTCCTGCGGGCCGCTTTCCAGCTGGATGGTTTCGGGGTCTGCATGGTCCCAGGGTACGTTTATCCGAAATGAGAACCCCGGAAAAACAAACTTACTTTTGGGTTGGAGGGTGCTCGTTGTCGGCGGTCGATCTTCGGGCTCGGAAAGTGCGGGGTCTCCCTGAGAACTCCACGATTCCGAAACTTCGTAAGTCTAACAAAGGGGGTTTTAGGACTTGTTTTGCTTAGAGTTTAGCAGTTTAGTGCTTACGACTTCGGGTTTTCCTCTCTCTGCCGTGCCATCTTCAGGGGTCTCGCTATACAAGCGGCAAAGGCATGTAGCTGCAGGCTAAGGCCTTTGGATCTTTTGGCTTGTTCTGCACAGCCTTGCATTTACTTCTCTGTAACTTTCACCTGGTACAAGTACCATGGCAGCATGGCAGAGCTCGATCAGGCGCTCTGACACAAGGTATCTTCCTGCTTGTCGTGATGACAAGAACCATAACAAACTCCGAAATTCCGTGTCCCGTGGTCCTCCTGGAAAGCGCCGGCGGCGGAGTGCGGAGCATCCAAAAAAATGAACCTCAGAAGCAGCGGGGTGTCCATGGCCTGTTTCTGCCGCTTGCTAGAGCTTTTGATCGTCATTCATGGAAACCAGATGAAACCAGTTCCAAGTATAGTTCCACGTATGGTTCTGGTTTGGAAAGGAGTGCAGCAGTCAGGCTAGCGAGTTGGTACCTCAGAACTAAGCCGTAGCGCTGTGCTCCTAACGCCCTACAGTCTTCCAGGTAAGTTCAGGGTTTACATTGACATGAAAGACCCTACATGGAATCCAGGACCATGTCTTTAGGGAACAGAAGTCCTGCCAGGCCTAAGCCTTTGCCAACAGGCACTCAACTGTCACCCCGGGCCACCAGGCTCGCAGCCCTTCATGGCACGGCGCAGTGAGCCAGTCTTCTGCTTGAGAATCTCGCCTGAAGCGCTACGGCCAAGGCGAGTTACAGATTTCACTGCTAGCACGCCAAGCCAGAACTCCAGGCTCGAAGCTGTCTGGCAAGGTCCATCATGAGCTGCTGTAAACCTCTGAAACGACAAGTCCTGTGTAGGAGGAGTGGATGTCAGCTCTCGGGTTTCAAGAAGCCCCCTGGCTAAACCCGCAAAAAACAGCAAGCTTCACGACTCAGCCCACGGCCATTCTGCACAAAGCCATGGAAACAAAGGATTCCTTGTGCTGCTGGAGTTACTATACTGTGGGTATTGGGCAAGGTGCCCTTTCCTCTGAAGAGTTTGGTTTCGGTTTCAAAGCATTCTGAACCAGAATGGCCGTTCTTACTGGATACTTACTGACCAGGTCGCACTGCAGTGCACTCGCTCGAAGCCTCTACTGCGTCGATGTTGAGGTTTTTCCACCGATAACCTGCCATTGGGTCGACTCGACCGCTGCCACGGCGAAAGATTGTGCCGTGCCAGCTTTCCCCATCTTGTCCATCACATTTCCGCCCAACGTGCTGCTTAAATCAAGGTCGAACTACCATTGGGGTCTACCAGCCAACCTAACAGACGGTCAACAAAGTTATCCTCAAGGCCACGCCCTGGCTTTGCCATCAGCACTCAAATGACGACGAAGCCTGAGGCACCCACTGAAGGTTTTTGCGGAGCTTTCACCAGTGAGCACCTTCTTACCATTGTGCCAGGCATGATGTCTTGCGCTGACTCGAGCACTCACATTGCAAGATTCCAAGGAACTCGGAAACGATCCTAATTCTACGACCTGCACATTGCGGTAAAGGTTATATTATTAATACTATTATTGCTATTATTATGGGGAATCCAAAAAGGCTGAGGCATGCGACAGGGAGCAAAGGCCAACCTCACAATCGCAAGCAACCGTCGACAGCCTGGGAAGGCTTGTTGTCAGCAGCGCGTGCAGACCTGGCAGCTCATATCACGTGACATCCATCTAGACGTGCGGGCCCTGGGCCCTGGGCATCAGGCTTATCGAATCATGGGCTGAGTGCACTAGCCAGGCGAACAAAAAGGTTGACCTTTGATTCTGGTTGGAATGTACGTATCCCAAAAGGTTAAAACGCGACCTGATACAAGCGGCGTCCCAGGCAACAGGCGGCAAACGAGCTTCGCGAATTTGAGGGCTAGAGTTCCAAGTTTGGTGGGAAGCAAACGGGCAACGGACGAGGTGTGATCCGGGGGATACGATGCGAACGTTTCAGGACTCGGACGCCATTGAAACCGTGAGATGGGGTGATCGCAGGTTTTCCCAGGAATAGCGAGTCAACTTCAAGAGATCGAAACACCTAGCATATACATACCTGCGGTTTGTGTCAATACCTCCGGGACCATTATTTGCGATCAGGGTGGGTGCACCACAGAAACTAAGCCCCTTTACCCTAAACCCAAAAGGTGTAAGGATACCTCCTGAGCCCCTATGCCTAACTTCCCCTAGCTTCTCACATCCGAATCCGACAGGTGTGCGCAGCCTGACAGCGAGCTGATCAGGCTGTTTAACAAGAAGATATTGTCTGGAGACGCCGGGATGGGGTGGAGAAGGTGTGCATATTACCCCTCAGCAGTCGGAAAAGGTTGCTGCTGTGAGCAGTGGTGGTAATGTTCACCTCAATATTGTTGCGTGGTGGTTGCGCTGCTATCATGTTGTGGCTCTTGCTGTGGTAGGTAGATGTTTTGGCTCTGTCTTCCTGTTTGTCTTCAGATGCGGCGTTTCTGCGGGTGCTGGGTGGTGCCATAACTTCGCCTCCTCGCTCGCAGTCGAAGGGCCGAGCTGAGCTCCTGGTCAACAATCCAGGAGGTGTGAAGGCCTCGTTGGGCATCCCGAACTCTTTTCAGAAAAGGAACTACATGTGTGCCCTCGCGGGTGTGTGAGGGGCCTGGATGCTAAGAAGATGCTGCGATGCTGTTCAATCACCGACAGGTGTAACGGAAATAAAGTATGAGTTAGCATCTTTGGGAGAGTTAGACACTTATCTCTAAGGCCAGCTCAAAAGAATGTTTCGGATGTAAGGTTATGTGTTCGGCATCTAAAGCCTATCGGACTTGCATTCTTAGGGCTGGAGTGATCAAGCAGGCACCGACACCCTGGAATGCCATTATATATAGGCCAGCTGCACATTGGATTGTGTGCACGGGCTACTCGCCTCGGGTTCACCACACTTTGCCAAAACCCCGTGTACCCTCATCAAATGCCCACAAGCCCTCCATATTTGATTAAGGGCCTCTGGTCCATATGTAAACACATCCCACAGAGATTCCGCGTGACCGTGAACAGTCTTTTAAGGATCCATCGGTAAGTACCTTGGAACATCATCTGTGAAATTCAACGCCCCCTTCGTCCGGCGATCCTCGAACCGCTGCATGGCCTCGGAACATACGGACTTGGGATCACAACACGCTATAGGGTTCAGGGCTTAGGCTCAGGAGGGTGTAGGCTTCATGGCCAGCGATTGCGAGGATCTCGGCCGAATTCGGAGGATCCACGGCAGGCACGCAGACGTTCGACAGGCTCTCAGCGATACACCAATGTTAGGAACCTGAGCGGTCAGAACCGTAAACAGCATTTAGCTCCATGTGATTGAAAAATGCTGATGGCTGAAGGCCCTAAACCCAAGACTCCGAACTCCCTCATCGAACAGGCTTTGCAGGCGAAAGGAAAAGATTTGAATCGGACATGTTGGGAACGTTTTTCTACGCACCCGCAAGTTTCGAAGTCTTTGGTGGGCACGCTGAGGGCTGGACTTGCCGAAAGCCAGGAGCAGTAGACCAGAGTGGCCATCACACTTTACATGGACTGGTTGATTTAAGGATTAAGAAAAAGGCCACCCTGTGTAGTACGCACAGACTCAATCCCAACTGTGGTCTACAAACCCGGCTGAAGCCGTTGACCCAAGCACGGTCTCTCATACTGAGCTGAGGTTCGACGGGCCTAAGGCAACGTATCGCCCCGGTATCGCTTTGGTTTCCCCTGATTCTGTATTCAACGCCATACACCAAAGTCGAGAGAACATGCAAGACAACTCTGGGGAGTGGACTTGCAAAATGCTGCACTGACATGTTGCTGCTACTCTCGCAGCTCGGAAAGCCAGGCACAGCTCCACAGTTGAGGCTTGCATTGCCGGGGCTTGCGGCCTTACACCTCGGGCAAGAAATTACATTAGATAACAGCCAAACATGTCTATGGGAGCTCCCGGCCCATGGTCGATGAGTGCAACTCCAAACACTGACTAGCTCAAGGCTTTTACTGCGCACGCAGAGGAACTTTTCAGAACTACTCAGCACCCGCTCCGTGGCGCGTGGTGGGCTCCGACATGTTGTTACCTGCCTGCGTGCTTTCATAGCTTCTCTAGAAATTCCTGCTGGCTCCGCGTGCCGGAGCTGGTTGTGTATCCCTATTTTCTAGAGCCCCCGCGGCTTTCAGAAAGCAGGTGCAATGCATCTGGGATCTGATAGCACGGTCGTCCCACTAGTCACTAGTCGCGGCCGCGGATCACCTCAGAGGACACAGGACAACACAGGAAATTTACACTCCACACGCCTTCTACGAACCATGCAGACTACTAGCTTGTCGCAGCGTTTGAGAAGAAAACGACAAATCAGCTAACACTGTAGCTATACATACGAAGAGCACGGACCATGCAACTGAGGCTATGGGCCGAGAAGCAGATGAATTATGATGATGGTGATGATGATGATGGTTGTGATCCTTTTGTCGAGTAACAGAAGCAAGCAACCACAACAAACAAACAAGTAAACAACCGTACATACGCTCTCTCTCTCTCTCTATATATATATATATACACACATACATACACACCTACACATACTTACATTGAATCTGTATATGCTCAGTATCTATGTATCACCCCTGGCTTTGATTGATGCTTGCAAAAAGTCATTCCCTTCCATAGACAGGAAGCTGATGTCTTCTGCGACATCGCAGGAACTTTAGGAATACACTTTGCGGGGTTTGCGGTTTGTCGGCTTTGCCGAAATCAACACGTGCCCACAAGAAAAGGTCATAACCTCGGGGCCAGAGCCTGGCTATCATGAGCCTGACTCACAAACCCCTTTTCCCAACTGACACACCCGGCGATGGAATTATCCAACCCTACACCATCAAAGCACCAGGCCCGAAACCGTAAACCCGGGCAGACCCGTCTAAACGAATCCTTCCACGAACCCTCAACACCCGGAATCCCGGATCGGCCCAGTGGCAGATTCTCCATCCCGCCGCCTCTTCATAGGGGGACAAAGCTCTGGTGGTGGCCTCTTCGTGCCGATCTCGCGCTCTCCGTGCGCGTTATTGCCTTGGCTCTATGCCCCTTGGCCGCTCTTTCACTCTCTCTATAAGGTTCTATACGGCCTAGATTACAAAAAGGGCTCCAGAAGGTTCTATAGGGGTTCTACAACCTATACGGTTGGTCGCTCACAACGTATCGCACTGGCAACAGCAATACCTCTGATGCTGCCGATGACGGCACTGGTGGAAACACGTTTCTGACTGACTCTGCGATTACCGCAATATTTGCGATGTCTGCTTTGCGCAGGGTTACCAGAGTATGTCCTGTGCTAACTGCTGGCTTCTGCATCGTGGTTTCTCCGCCATTGCTTGTATTCGTCCTCGCAGCAAGCTCGCTCTTAGCATGAAAGTCGTCATGTTGAGGGTCGTCCCGATCTGAAGGACATGTGTTATGATATCCATATATGTAACAAGTGTATAGGGCTGTACGAATAGAAGTTTCTAGCCCATCTGCTCACCAAGGCACAGTTCTTTCCATAGATGCATCCTTTGGCAGTCTTCGTGACGGGGTCCCAGAACACACATAATCGTGTCTTCACTTTTCCGCACACGGACAGACCAATTGTGCCCAACTCGCTCTCGGTGTGGGCAAATGGGCAAATCTTGCCCAGGGAGCATTCTCCTCGAGAAAAGCGCCCACACATTTCTTTCTTTTTCTTCAACCTCATGTCTGGTACCTGGCTCTCTGGGATATCTCCCTGCTCGGCCATAGCATCATTCTCTTCGTTGGCCATGTTGGCTGGAACGTCCGGCGATGCTGGATGCAACTCTTCGTAGGTATGCGCGAAGGTGCAGTCTTGACCCTGACGGCAAAAGCCTACTGTCATCAAAGGCTTGCATAACCGCATCGGTCGGAATCCTTCCTTGAATCGCAGGGGCTGCGCCGCCTGAGTTTTGGCTCGCTTCTCCTGCTCCTGCTTCTGTAACTGTTGGTAAAACTGGTACTGCTGCATATATTGCATGTCTTGTGCTGATTGCGCGGCTGCTGCAACAGCTGCGGCGCCCTCAGCCTCCTTGGTCTCACCTGGCTGATTGCCTCCGCCTTCCCCTCCTGCAGCAGCCCCTAGGGCTTGCACTACTGCATTCAACACTGCTGGTTCCAAACCCAAGGCGACAGCAACTGCTGCAACGGTGGGGTCTGTGCCGGGGGGTGCACCTGGAGCCGGCGGTGGTGGGGCGGCTGCTGGAGCTAACACAGGTGCCACCACAGGAACCGCTGGTGGGGCAGCCGTGGGTGCAGCAGCCGGTGCGACTGCAGGCGCCATAGCTGGAATGGTAGCGCCAGCTGGTACGGTGCCAGCGGTGGGCATCTGCCCTGCTGCTGCCAACAAAGCTGCTGGTATGGCGACTTGCTGCTGTAGGCCAAAAGGTGCTGGTGGCGGGGGAGCTGGTGCGCCCGGTGCTGCTGGTGCAGTGGCTTCTGCTGGGGGCGGGTGGAATTGGAAGCCTGGCGGCAGTGTCAATGTTCCCGGTGCCAGGTGTGGCCGTGGAGGCGGCTGTAGCACCATGTTTGGGGGAAGGCCCTGAAGAGGTACCCCCAAGTTGGGCAATTGACCTAAGAACTGCAACTGGCCCAATCCAGCCACTGGAGCGGTAGGCAGCATCTGAGGCATCTGCCCTGCTATCTGCACTGGCATGTGCCCTGGCAGACCCGGTATCTGCCCTGGCAGACCCGGTATCTGCCCTGGCAGAGCCGGTATCTGCCCTGGTGCTGGGGGTGGTCCGGGCGGGCCCGGCGGCCCGGGTGGACCCGGCGGCAGCATGGCCCCGCACTAACGCCCGAAAGCACGAAGAAGTGCATCTGATCTTGCCAGCTGCGGACAAACACAAGCACATTTTCAAGGAACTCGTGCATCACAAAAACAGTCCAGGCAGGAGGCACACTGGCACATGCATGGCATCTGAAGACAAATAGTTGGACTGAGTCCCTGCTCTACATCCTCGTACACATTGACACGTCTCACCTTTTTCCACCCGCCGCCGTTGAGCGCCGGACAGTTTGTCTGGAAGGCTGTCTAGAAGGTACAGATGGTGTGACCTGTTCCTTTTCGCCGGTCGCACCCGAAAGTTTTGAACAAAAGCCGAAGTATGAATTATCTGCAGAGGGATCCGCACTTACCAAGTTTGTGGTTGAATGCGGCTGCTTGCTTTTGGTCCTGGTATGACTCTCATCTAACATACCCATGAACTCATCGAAATCCACAACACCATCTCCGGAAGTATCGTAGTTGTCGAGAAAGACTTCGATTGCCTTGGACTCCTTCTCCTGCTTCGTCTTGTCGCTGGTGCGACCAGAACTTAGCAGTTTGCATAGCTCTGCCTTTGTTACAGTGCCACTCCCGTCGGCATCGAAGATCTTGAAAGCTTCCCAAACGACATCTTCCTTCAACACTTTCTTCTTGTCCAGAGCTGCTGCCAGGAACTCAGTGTATTCGATGGTGTCATTGCCTCAGCTTCTTCGGCCTACATGACATCAAGAAAAATAAGTTTCTTTCGCAGTTAGCATACACCACATGGCAGTCGTATGTGGCCTTATAAGTACGTACATCACGACAATTGTGCAGAAAGTCCGCCGTTCCAGTTTCTACTAAGCACTCCTGGTCACAAACATTCTGCACTCCAGGTCATTTAAACTGTCCGTGCAGGCCAAGAACTCTAACTTCTCTCTCTATGCACTAGCCAGACTGAAATAAGCCTTTCAAACCTTCAAATTCGGAGCCAGAAGCCAATCACATCCAATCGTCCAATGCCCGGAGTGTTCCAAATCAGATTGCAAACCATGACGGCAATGACTCGAGCAAAGTAACCCTTATTTTCCTTGTTTACTGTAACAGGGAGGGACCACTCTGGATGAACATCTTCAAGCGTCTAATTGCCGACAAGCTGCCGTCTGTGCCGACTCCACACAGGCTCAACCCCCCCGGCAAGGTCACGCCGACCTCTTCCAAACTCTCTATCGATGGATGAGCTCAAGGCTGCGAGGCTACAAGCTGGCGTTTTTGTACCTGCACATAGATCACCCCCCACACACGCACGCACTGAATCCTAAACCGCAAACGCTGGACAATCTTGGAACAGGCCGTTCTGAGCCCCGAGTTGGGCCTTGGCTATCCAGATTTAACCGACCTGGACATCACATGAGAGTGTCAGAAACATGAGGTCCCAAGACGACACCCGAAAGAGTAGGATCCTGACTATAAGATCCCAAAACACTAGCCGGCACTATCCCAAAAACCGAAAGGGAGCATCCTTGCCAGAATCCCAAACGCGGACTTCTTGGAGACGACCAAGAGCTGGCCTCTGCAAACGCTCCGCGGAGCTCTCCCATGGTCATGTGCCCATTTCCTGAGCTGCTTTGAAGGGTTTGGGCCGGCTGTTTCTGCCTCCACCCTGGCTAGATCAAGCCGGCAATGCTCCTAAACCCTAAACCCTAAACCCTAAACCCTGTTTAACTTTATTTAAGGCTCTGGGCTCACGGCGAGGTTTCGGGGCTCAAGCCTTCGGGGTTTAGCAGACTCTGCGCTCGGATCACGGGTCTAGGTTAACCTGAACAAGAACAGGATCTGGGTGGGTTAATATTTATAAATATGTAGCTAAAAAGGAAAGGGATATCCCGCTGCCAATGGCAAACCGGAAACACTGTAAGTCTACTGTGTACCTTGAAACGCTACGCCATGGCCTAAACCCCCTCTAAACCACTTGAAAGCCCAACAGACGGCGAACCCTGAGACCCTACGTCTGAATCAATTCGGTATAACATCTGAGCCCCGGGGCCATCTCGATCCAGGCATTCGAATACTTGCCTCAAGTGCTGCGTGTCCTCCGACTCACCGCTTTTTGTGTTTAGTTTTTCGTGTGTTACAAGGGTCTGAGGCTTAGGGGTTTAGGGTTTTAGTGGTGTACGGATTTCAAAGTCTAGGGTGCAGGGTTGGGTCCAGTTTACTTCGGGGGATAAGTTCGCTGCGCTTTGACTCTCGGCCCGTATCTTGTGGGCCTGAATGCGCCTTTGAGTCGGAGGCTGCAGACCTTGTCCTGATATCTATACTCTGTTGATTAATCAGGAAATGGGTCTTCAGCAGCAAGGCTACTTACGCCTGAAATAGAAATCGCTAAACACGGAAACAAATATCCAGATGGCGACTGCTCCGCATAATTACATCTTGTGCAGCGTCATGCAGCATTAGCACTGCTAGTATCTAGCAGCGCCACTCATGCGTGCACAACGGCGACGATGGTAAGAACTAACTCGAAAGTTACTGATGATGGCGGGACTCATCACCACGTTTAACTGCAAGCTCACATTTCTGCGAATATTCCTGTTCGACATTTCGCTTTCCTAATCTGCAGCCCGAACCAAGACCTAAGATCTCGATATCTGTAGGGGTGGAACCTTCTTGGCCAGACGAATCTCTCCTCTCCGCAAACCGTGCTCCTAACAATCCAGATTGAGGTGTGTCGAAAGAAGGTGCATGGACTCACTGCTGTTGAAAGAATAGGCCGACTATGGAAAGAATAGGTTGACTATGGCATCCCTATATAAGCCTTCAGGCACAATTCACAGACAGCGGTCCTCGTCCGAAGCTCGCCATGCAAGGGCGGTTAATGCCGCCTTCTGCATGAGGTTCAGGGACTGGAACCTGGGGCTTCTGGCTCCGAGACAACCAAGAAATCCACAGCCGACTTCGGGTTTTAGTGTTGTGAGTTGTGAGATTCAGGCTCTTACGCTCAGGGTTATCATTGTTATCATGTCTTGCATTCCAGGGTTCAAGGATGTTTGGTCCAACCAATGAAACTCCAACGCATGGGGGTAATCAACCGCCGAAGCCCGAGATTTCGCGGGTCAGAGTGCCAGGCGCCAACATGCTAGGGCTTCGCGATTGTTACGAGGTTCAGGGCATGGGCTTCCCTTGACGGGACTGGCACAAGGCACCAAAAACGAAAGAGCGAGCACCCAAAACCCTTAGAGCTGAAGCTCCGGGTCTTCGGGGCCTCCTACGTGGGGCTTGCGAGGAGCCCCAAACGCCAATTCGCGTGTCCTTAAGGGAGGGGTTTCCAAGGGGGTAGTCTTTATGACCTAGTTACCCCCATCTATATACTGGAGCCTCTTACCGCCAAGGCCAGCAGCATGCCACGATCTGTTCGTGCGAAACACAGATGCAAATACACAACCTACGTCTTGAGCCCCAAACCCAGAATCTGAAAGCCTGTTTAGGTGCCCTAAACTCGCCCAGGTTCAGGTCGCCAGGGCCTGTTCAAAGACATGGCTTCGGAAGGTCTTCTGGCGTAGGCCCAAACCCGTGCTATTGTAGGGGCCCTGAGAATTAGAACAAGGTTTTGGGGGGTTCATTATTCTAATTATAGTACAATAAACTCCAAAGCCTATTCTAATGAGAAAGGCCCCTCCATTAAACCCAAAGCTCTGGACCCTACTAGTTCCCCTGCCCGGAAGGTTGCTTGATTTCTTGCTTGCCGGAAAGCTGAATCATCGTCTCGACGATTCCTTGCATAATTTCTGCACTTGGCAGCTGTACCTGGGGTGGAGACTAGAGAGTTGGGGGCTGCAGGCTCGCTCGATCTACAGCTCAAACTTCGCAAAACCAATCTTCAACAGTGTACTCGCTGCTTAGGCTTAGGCTTAGAACTCAGTGCCTTTCCCAAATTTTGCACTCCATCTGCAGTGTAGCCTTCTGGCCAAGCTCCGAGCCTACACACCCGAAGCCAGCAGCCTGAAGAATGAACATGGAAACCATAAACATCCTCAAATCCCAGCATTCGGCCGCTTGTAATTTGCAGCAGGGCTATGGAGGATCACAGGGGTGTTGCCACTAATTCTGGTAATCTCTATTCTTAAACTCTCGAAGCCCTAAGGACATAGGGAGCCGCCAGCAGAGATTGCGCAAAAGATGGTCCCACATACGAGGCTGCCTTAATGTAACTGAGCACTGGAGCAAGGCCCACAAGTGTATCCAAAAAATCGATCTCAGCGGCAAGACGACTCCAAAGTCGAACAACATGGACTGCAACAAAAGCAAACCGGAGCAGTTCGAGATCGGACTCAAACACCTGCACGTGTCTGTGTGCGTGTGTGCGTATGCATATGTACACGAAGACTCTAGATGCAGACTAGGCAACAAGAAAGCATCCAATGACGGTAACTCCTCTAGACGCTGAATCCGGAGCCCCGATGAACCCTCCCACTCCCCAGCCCACGATACTCGTACAGCAACCATGAGTCCAATGAACGAACAAATCCTGACCCAGAGCGTCAAGCCTGGTGTGTGAAGAATGTACAAGCTCTCGCCTATTTACAGACGGCCACCTGCCTCCCTTGGCCCTACAAGTCTGATCCACCCTCTCTACAACAGTGTTTATGCAAGCCCTGCAATCCGTACAAGCACTTTCTCCAAACCTCTGAAATCCGGAGCTCTATAGTAGCCTGCTTCGCAATACCCGCAAACCCTAATCCCTATAACCCCCAACGGTCAACTGCCGAAACCTTGTAACCTGTATCATAATCCTACCCCTTTCAACCCGAGACTCTGAACCGCTAAACAAAACCCCGCCCTGTGATGACCTTATTAAAAACCTGAGAAAGGAACTTGCCAATACGGGTCAATCCACCCGCGAACACACAGAACACGCAACTTTTTTTACTTTCCAGTTTTTCAGCAATACGACTGAGTTGTAACTTTTTTTCGGCTCCAAAAGCAGCAAATTCTGCAAAAGGCATCATAGCTCTAACTTTTTTGGTGTCTTTGACACCAAGCCGCTAATTTTTATGGTGTATGAACTTTTTTGGTATATTTAACACCAAACCAAGATTTCTGTGCTGTATTTTGAAACCAGAACCGTCACAAGCGCTCATTTAGGGTTTTCGTCTTAGGCAAAGGGTTCTCGCTGGATTCACTCCTTAGGGTCCCGCTGCATTCACTCCTTAAGGTTTTCATATCGGGCAAAAGGTTCTTGCTGGGTTAAAGGTTCCTGTTGGATTCACTCCTTGGGGTTTTCGTCTTCGGGAAAGGGTTCATGCTGGATTCACTCCGTAGGGTTTTCGTCTTCGAGAAAAGGTTCCTGCTGTATTGCCTCCTGAAGGTTTTCGTCTTGAGTAAAAAATTCCTGCTGGATTCACTCCTTGAGGTTTTCGTCTTCGGTATAAGTTTCCTGCTGGATTCACTCCTTAGGGTCGTCTTGGGTAGAAGGTTCTCGCTGGATTCACTCCTTAGGGTTGTCGTTTTCGGGCAAAGGTTCATCCTGGATTCACTCTTTAGGGTCCTCGTCTTGGGTAGGTTCTTGCTGAATTCTGCAAAGCCTGAGTGCGGGGTTGGTTGGGGGTAGGTGGGGCAGATGCGGTAGTGGACTTAGCCTGCTTCATGTACCAACCTGGCCTGAACCCTTAAACCCTCCCGAACCCTGAATCCTAAAGCCCTCAGCCCGGCATGAGCCCCTTAACCCCCCCCGGCCTAAACCCGAAGCCCCAAACCGTATAAGGCCCGGCTAACTCCCGGCCTGAACCTTCAGCCATTCGTGGCGCAGGGCGTCGGCCACAGAGCATCTGTTTTCTGGCCTTGAAAAAGCCGAGGTTCCGAGGGGGTGTAGGAACATTGCTTAGCGGAGTTATACAGTCGACCTTCTCGGGTTTAGGGGTAAAGGCTCAGGTTGTAAGATCCAGGGGTTTATATGGTTTCTTTGCGGGCGGTTTTGGGACGGTTGAGGTTCAGGGTTAAGGGTTGGCGTGTTTAGGGCCTAACCCTGAGGCTTACTTGGAGCTTCAGGAGTGTCGGTGTGGAAGAGGTTCACCTGCGTCGTGCCAGTTCAGGGTTTCGTCTTTCCGACCTCAACCGGTAAATTTCTCAACCCTACAAACAAACTCCCCGGGTTGTCAAACAGCCAGATACCAATCCCAAAGCGTCTCAATCCTCAGTTTCTGGATGCAGACAGACATAAGTTTGGCAACATGATGAAGTAACTTGTCTATTCATGCAGCCTCATGAATGTGCGGGGTACGCATTGGTTTTCTGCAGTGACACGACTCACATGCTAGAGCCAAGCATGTCTGACAATTTCAGCTCGTGGGCAGCAGGTTTTGTCAGCGTCGCACGACATGGCTGCCAATATCTCGTAAGGTGTCTCCACTTCAAGGTCCAAGGCCCTGTCCGCATCTACATGGTACGTAGACAACATATAGAGATATATGGTATATGGGTAACAACCCAGGTGCTTCTTGCGTAGCAGCTCCACCAAGATGGATTTGCCTCAGCAGCAAAGTGGCATTCTGGGTGAGCGGTTGAGGGTTTGGGACTTCAGCTTTAGGCAAGCTTCGGGTTCGGGGATGTACAAGGTCAAGTTTAGGATTGCAACAACAACAACAGCAGCAGCAACAGCAACAACAACAGCAACAGCAACAGCAACGGCAACAGCAAAGCAACAGCAACAGCAACAGCACCAG